GTCTTGCCACTGTCGCCTGTTATCACTTGGCAGAAGGGTGATGATTCTGATGCCAGAGAATGACTCAAAGCTCTCGGGCAAATCAGACCCCCCCCTTGACTTTTGGGTGTGAATATATATCCGTAGTGCTGTGATCCTGAAGGGTCAGGACGTTCTCCTTAGCACAGGGTAACAAAATGCTCCATGCTGCAGTGAGATCCGTGCGGGAGAACACGTATGTCTATGCGTCACGGGACCGAAAGCTGAAAACACTCAAGTCTAAAGAAAAGGAATTATTTCACAACCCCCCGATTCCACTTAAAATCATTTGGTGGATGGAGTGTCTCTCAGAGCATTGTTGCCTAAAGTCCTTTCCATTCCTTTCTTCCCCTCCACCCTGCAGAAGGCGTGTTGCAATACTTGCAAACCCTCAGAAGTATGTGGATTAATGATCTCATGGGTAAAAATCAGCAGGAGAGGAAGTTGCCAGATTTTGAGCCGTAGCAAAGTTTTTCCATATCACTCACAGATTACCTAGATCCAGCAGCAATCTTGGAACCATCACTATTAAAGATGACGTGGTTTGCATTCATGGTGAAACGAGTAAGGATGCCATCTGGAGCTCCTTCAGGAAACGTGTGTAGCTGAACAGTATTGTTCAATACTGCTGTGACCAGTCTTCCATTCTAAAACCAAAATCCATCATAAAATTGGTTAATTAAAACACATTTATACCCACAGAGTTTTGAGCGATAGCAAATTTTTCCATATCACTCACAGATTACCTAGATCCAGCAGCGATTTTGGAACCATCACTATTAAAGATGACGTGGTTTGCATTCATGGTGAAACGAGTAAGGATGCCATCTGGAGCTCCTTCAGGAAACGTGTGTAGCTGAACAGTATTGTTCAATACTGCTGTGACCAGTCTTCCATTCTAAAACCAAAATCCATCATAAAATTGGTTAATTAAAACACATTTATACCCACAGAGCCCAAAAAATTTGCTCTGACATTGCCAATACTTGGGTGGATTAACTGTACTAGTTCCAAAAGAGGTCTGACAGTAAGAGTAATAGGGAAAATATTCTTTAAGTTTCATTTCTTTCCCTCAAAAACTTTAATACTTTAATCAAACTATTAAAAACTATAAAAACTATTATCTTACTTTCAGTCCTATAGAAACACACTGCTGGATTTAATACTAAAATGTATAAAACTCATTATGGTAACTACATGGCAATTTATTGCATCAAGGCCCTCCCAACCTGTATCTTTTCAAATTCACTAATGAATTTCAAAGAGAACCATCTGATCTTCTCCTGGTGGATGGAAACTTTACTCCTTTTACAGGGGCAAGAAAGCCCTTAGATCAGGAAGAATCCTGCACGCTATTTAGATTAATACACTGCAGTATCAGGAGAGGGCACCCTTGGACCGAATGTCTCAGTGAAATGCCACCAGGAAAGATGAGAAGTTCATGAACTATCCCTTAGTTCTTCGCAGAAAACAGAAGGCAGATGTTTACTAAAAATGAATCCAGATTAAAAGAAGTACAAAACAAAAGAATAATTATCCTGTACTTGGAAAAGTAGTATCTCTTCTTCAAGTGACAAAACTGTTCCTCAGTTGTACATAGCAGTAATTTTTTTAAATACATAAATAAAGAAATACCTTATTTCCTTGAGGGTTTTTTGGTTGCACTTGGCAGGGGGGGAGAGGTGTGCCTTATTTTTGTTTTTTTTAAAAATTGCCTAAAGTTATAGTAAAAATCCTGAAGAAAAACAGAACAGCAGCCAGTACTAAATAACCTAAGAGATGCAATTTATTACCTAGATTACATGAATATCTCTTATAACATTTTCATTAATGAAGAACAATTTTTGAAATAGGATTTCCTGAAGTGTCACAAAGTGTTCTTAATCTCACTGTTTAAAAAACTTTCTACAACTTTCCTCACATTGAGAGAAAACACTGAAACAGCCTAAAAAGTTCACTGCATAATTAGCTTAATCTGCTGGGTTCTTCAGAAAGGACAAAGTCAGAAACAAGTATAACTCAATGTGAAGGAAGAAGATGAAAAAAAAATTACAGCAGTTTAACATAAGGAATAATTCTTCTACAATCCTTTACGGGGTAAAATGAACTGTCAGAAGCATTCTTGGTTTATATAACATACTTAATTTAGTTAAAACATTCAAAAAGTCTATAGGCACAGCTAATCATTTAAATTTCTGTGTATTTCAGAAAATTATGTTTTCAATACTGCTTTAATATTTTCACTTAGACTTACTAAGGTAGAATATGTTCATCTGCTCAAATTTAAAAACCTGCTGCTCATTCAACAGCATTTGATTTATTTTTACTATACATTAATCTGAAGACAAAGATCTACATAATTAACATACATCAGGCCGAAATGCACTACATCCAGTATTTTTCTTGGCTTTTTTGTATATTATCCCAATATTTATTTAAGGTTACCCACAAGAGCAGTATCCCTGAGCTTGAAAATCCGGTATCTTGTGACACACTTCGTTCTGCTAACAATGATACCTTTAGAGCGCAGGAATAGGCCTTTTCTCCCACATTAATGGACTTTGGATCATCATCATCCAGGTTTTCCCAAATCCTGACATCTCCATCACCACCACAAGTTACAATGCAGCTGTGGAAAGACACAGGATTTGTTACCATTAAGGAACTGAAAGGACGCCCACCCATGACTTTCAACCCCAACATGAAAACGTTACTGAAGTGTTAGTTTTTCTTTAAATTGAAACACAATACATACTGTGTGATACAGTGAATACCTACATTTATGATGTTTAAGTAACCAATTAAACGTGGGGAGGGAGGAAAAAAAATCACATCTGGCAGCATAACACAGTACCTGGAGTCCCTGACAACTGGCACTCATCCAAACTGACCCTCAGATATTACTGGTCAACCCATTTTTTTCCAGGACTCCGACTAAATTTTTTCTAAGGACTTAATTAGCACTTACTTCACCAAGAACAAGGCATTTAATTGCTTCGGAAGACTTTGAAAGCTTAACTACAGATGATTACAAAATTGGGGGCAAAACTAAGAGTGTTAATGCATACGTGAGTGAAGTTTAACAAACTTAACATGTTCCAGAACCTTTAAAAAATAGCTACTACAGAATTCAAGCTTGCTAGAGTCAACTTTCACAATTTTAATGTAGCAAACAGCCTCGAAGAGCAAACATAGATAAGTTCGCATGGGATTTTTAAAGACATTGTGAATCTGTAATCGAGCCTTGCATTCTTTTTTTCTAAAGTTGTTTGCCATCCCAAAAACTTCTAATTAAACAGCAAAACATTACAAAAACACTGTTGAAGCTGTGATGTAGCTGCTCTTAGTTTTGTAAGGGCTGTACTTTGACAGCAACACAACATGGTGTAGATATTGAATATATTGATGCTGGAGAGTCCAGCAGCAGCAGAGCAGAGGTCTTCAGCAGAGATGTCTGCATCTTTTTTTAAAGATTGGCATTGTCATGGCAAAGAAGGCTTTTTGTAGTGACAAGGGATTGTTATTTGACTAATTCTTAACAGTCCCCTTTGCACCAAGGCTATCAAATAAAGGAAGGAATAAGAAAATACAGACTTCAACCACAGTCAGTATGGTAACTCAGAATTGTCCCTGGAGTTCACCTTGAGAGGGCTTATTTTCTGGTTTTCCATTTCATCAATAAAAACATAACAAAAATTATTTAACTTATATTTATACATTCAAGAACTAGTATAAGAATAACACGAAAAGATAGTAAGCCCAATACTGGATTTCTTCAACTGTACTTTTCATTTCTGAGTGCATATATGAACATATTTTCTCCCACACTACACCAATTTTTTCTAGATGCTGTGAAATCACTCTTATAAAAAGCACATATAGAGGTTTTAAATATATATACACATATGCATATATATAGGCTCACATTGAAGTTATATGTCAATCATTTCAAAATTCAGGGCATCAAACTCTATGTCTTAGAGCCAGTTCTCAACACAGGCAAAAAACACAGAGGATTTGCCAGATCAAGCCTGACCATAAATCACAGGATGGTTTGGGCAGGAAGGGACCTTTAAAGAACATCTAGTCCAACCCCTCTGCCAAGGGCAGTGACATCTTCAACTAGACCAGGTTGCTCAGAGCCCCATCCAGCCTGACCTGGAATGCTTCCAGCGATGGGGCATCTCCCACCTCTCTGGGCAACCTGGGCCAGTGTTTCACCCCCCGTCAGCGTAAGAAATTTCTTCCTCATATCTAGTCTAAATTTTCCCTCTTAGTTCAAAGCCATTATCCCTCGTCCTATGACTCCACTCCCTGATCCAGAGTCCCTCCCCATCTCTCCTGGAGCCCCTTGAGGGACTGGAAGGGGCTCTAAGGTCTCCCTGGAGCCCTCTCTTCTCCATGCTGAACCCCCCCAACTCTCTCAGCCCCCCCTCCCAGCAGAGGGGCTCCAGCCCTCCCAGCATCTCCGTGGCCTCCTCTGGCCCTGCTCCAACATGTCCATGTCCTTCTGATGTTGGGGACCCCAGAGCTGGCCACAGTGTATCTCACCCAGCAGTGGCTGGCAGAGAAACTCCTGAGAAAGCCATGGAGAAGAACAGGACCATCCCTCCCCCAGGCCACCAGGTCACCCTGGTCTCTAGGAATCAGACAGTTACCTCCCAGTGTCATCGAAGCAGACGTCTGTGTGGCCCTCGGTATGGCCGTACCGCATCGGCTTCTGTGCTGAAGGCATCTTTGCTCTCACCTGTTTATTTATGGAGGACAAAAAGGGAGGGAAATAAGTTTTAAAAGAAAAAAAAAGCTTCAGAAATAGCCTCAGGTGGCAGGGACGGAGCTGCTGGGACACCCACCCACGGGGATTGGCACCCGGGGGCTCAGCTTAGGCCAGCCCGGCCTAAGCGATGGGGGGGGCCGGCTGTGGAGGCGAACCGTGAAAGAAAAGGGG